TTGATTTCTAATTGTTTTTATTTTGTGCTTAATTTGATGTCTAATTTTTTTTTATTTTGTGCTTAATTTGATTTCTAATTTTTTTTAATTTTGTGTAAACATGTACATGGGTGATTCAACCGACAATCATTCTTCCTCTAGTAGCCCTAAGAAAATAAGAGATAAAGGTCCCACTTTGATGGAAAAAAATTGACAAAGTTCATCAAATGGGTGAAAAGATAAAGGTCGAGTTTGATCCAAGAACCTATGAATATTCTGGTGTTGGTAAAAATGCTACAAATTTTAAGAGTTATATAGCATCTCTTGCTCGACAGAACTGTAGTATTTTGAAAAATGAATGGAAAGATGTATATAATGGCAAAAAAAAGGTTATTTGGGTTGATTTTAAGGTATTTTAAATTCAACACTTTATTATGTTTTATAATCATATACTAATTAACAATACATGTCGTATATTATACGTGTAGGCTCATTTCACTTTTCCAGAATGTAAAGATCCAAAGAAGGGTCTATTGAAGAAAGAATGGATTAAATATGTGAGAGAGCGATATAGAGGTTTTAAGATACAACTCACAAACTAATATATTAAAAAGCCCAAAAAAGATCTCCCTCCTTCACATATTAAGTATAGGTATATTAAAGAAGAAACATGGAAATAGTTTCTCAAGACTCAAGATACCCTTGAATTTAAGGTTAGTAGGAGTTATATTTTTTTTGGTGCATAACATTTTTATTATGTTTAGTGATTATTAACTTTTTGAGTTTATAATAGGAAAAAAATCGAAAGGGTATGGAAAATGAGGATAGGAATGTGTACCCACACGTATTATCTCGTGGAGGGTATCGATTGCTTGAGGAGAGAATTATGAATGAAAGGAGATCACCAACAAAATATTTCAAATTAGATGATACTGGTAGTCCATGTACACTATCACGCCATGAGTTATGGAAGAGAGCACGACAAAAGAAAGGGGATTATGCACATCAAAGTCTACATAAGTTGTTGTTGAGAAAATTATGAGTAAAATTTGGAAAATACTTCAAGTATCATTATATTTGTGATTGATAAAAACTATTGAAATTAGTTATGGTTATTGCATTTTGTAGGATTCTCTAGTTGAAGAAGCTGAAAAAGGTACATTTGTTCTGGATGGACGTAGCGATATCTTAACAGCAGCCATTGGAACATCTGAGCATGGCGGTCGTGTTCGTGGTGTGGGAAAACACCATAAACAAAGCTCTTACTTTGGAAGGTCGTCTTCACCTAGAGGAAAACATATAGATGTAAATGAACAACTTGCACAATTTTCATCTGAATTGGAAGCAAGAATTAGAGTTGATTTTGATCAAAATGGTTGATGAGCGTAAGGTGTTGCAACAATCTTTAATGGATACACTTAGGTCTACCGGTTTATCGCAAACCACTGATAATAATAAATGCATTGAAAAAATTGAAATTGTCGATGGAAGCGGAAAAGGAAGTTGTTCATCTGCAAAAGGAAGCACAAAATACCTGGAAGTTGATGATGTTCAGAGATTGTTAATCATGGTTCTGAAAATAGCTGACACACATTTGGAAATGGAATTAAGTCATTGTGTGAGTGTCATTAATTTTTATATGTCATCTAAGTGTATCAAAGAGTTGTTGGTGGGTTTTCATTGGCTTGACTTGTCTACTCTACAAGTTTGGTGCACGTAAGTATATTTTCTTTTTTTATTATTGTCAATATTTATTAATATATTACATCTCTCATCACTTTGATTCTAATGTTTATTTTAAAATTATTCAAGTATATTCATCGTGTATGTATTGATAATTTCACATCAGAAGTATATGACTTTATGGACCCCGCTAGGTGTATGTATGTTGATAATGTGCCGAAATCTAAAGCAGATGTTAACAAATATATACTAGATAACTTACATGAAGAAAACAGAGTGTGTCAGTTACTACCATTAGTTCATGAGTAAGATTTTATGAAAATGTGTTTTATATTTTTTAATTTTGATAACATAGATATTTTATGTGACTTTTGTGTTTCCACACACACGTACATATCTCATTGGCAATTAATAGTCATTTGCCCAAGAGACAATATTGTGGCCGTCTTTTGTTCACTTCATCGAGAAATTGATCAAATCACGGAGAAAGTTGTTACAAAGTAAGTTTGTATTTTATGTGATTTTTGTTATATTATATTATATATCCTATATACATAAATTCTTACAAAATTAATTTCATATTTTATGTTGCTTTATATGGATTTTATTGAATTAGTGCTTTTGGGGTTCATCAGATTGCAAACGGAAATAGAAAAAAGGCTACATGGCTTCATTCCAATGTAAGCGTGATGTAAATTATAATTCTATATTTAATTTTATGATAAGCATTCACTAATTATGTCATTCATTTGTAGACAAGGCTACAACATAACTCTAATGATTATGGATATTATGTGATGAAAATATATTGGATATTGTTTCTGCCAATATAACCGAGTCTTGGAAGCAGGTAATAAAAATAACTTTACTTTGTTATTTACTTTTCCTTTTGCAACTTGATGTGAATTTTCAAAGAATAACTCTATATTGTTATTTACGTATTGTAGGTATTTGATGATCCAACAAAACTAACACAAGATGATTTATATGATTTACGACTCCGTTGGGAAAAATGTTTCTTTGAGTTATATAAAAATTAAGCTTTATCTGGTAAGTTATATAGAATTGTCTAAATATATCTGATTTGAGTTTCTTGACTTTGGTGTTGCCTGCTGATGTTAATTGGTGTTATTATTTATTATCAGAAAATGTGATATTGGTGTTGTTTACTAAAGCTACAACTCATCTTCTTGTGGATTTCATGTTGGTATTTTAAGTGTGGGAAAGGACTTATAAATGGTTGGATATTTTTGTATAATTTTACTGGTTTTGTTGTTGTCGTAGTCCACCGTGTGTAAACTTCCTTATAATTTTGTACACTTGTGTGTATCCTAGATTAGTACTTTTATAAATCAATTGTTCATTTTAAATAATATATATGTGCATCCTAGTTGTTTGGTGCAATGAAATTACCCTTCACTGGTTAGAAAAATATGAAAATAGCGATCTAAATATGGTATGTGTGATGTGGGAAAAATATGAAAAATAGCGACATAAATGTGGTCTATGTGATGTTGGAAAAATATGAAAAAGTAGGTACCAAAAATAATTACAGGGAATCCACCTCGATTTTGCTAAAAAATAGAAAACATGTTACATCGGGCTATTGAGGCAACTGATGTTAAAACCTATATATTACATCGGGCCATTGAGGCAACCGATGTTAAAATCCATATATTACATCGGGCCAGTTAGGAAACCGATGTTAAATATTGCATTTTTTTAAATTGTATTTTTTTTCACATCAGACCTAACATTCAACCGATGTGGTGTGTAAAATGTCTTTGATTTACTACATCGCTTGAATTTACATCGGACTCAGACCCGATGTAAAATATATTTTTCGTCCAATGTAAAAAATCTTTCCTGCATTAGTGACGAATCGATGTTCACCCAACCCAAACCCATGTTCATTAAGTGGAAATCACGTCAATGAGTATCACGTATTCATGAAGGAGCGATTATTACCACTTCTCCAAGGAAGAAATTGTCCATCCTATTATGGGGGAAGAACAAGTCTTCTTATTCTCATGTTATAGACAAGTAGTTGGCTTGTAACAAGTTCTTCACCCATAATTTGTCTCATGGGTCTTGACTATAAATATCATAATCCCTAGGATTTGAGGAGATTCATTAAATATTCAAATATCAAAAACCCTTATTATATTTTAGCAATTACAATCTCCTTTATAATGTAACATTGATGAAAGATGATTGACTACTTATACATTCATAACAATGTTCTGATTATGAGTTGTGTTTTGTTGTTTTTGCGAGTCAATGACAGTGCAAGTGTAATAAAAAGGCTTCTAATTTAGGGAGAGCAATCCTTAATGAATAAGGGGTCACACGTGAGAGATTGTTATAGTAAGGGTTTTAAAAAATTGTCACAGTCGTGTAACGGTTTTTGAGATTTCGATTTGTATAGATGCCGCGACACTAATTGCAGTTGTCGCAGTGTGAATTATTTTAAATTTGTTCTTTAATATAAAAACGGTGATGTCGATATTATTTTGTCGTGGCCGTTTTTTAAAATCCTGGTTATAATATCTCATGAGAGAGAATCCATTTACTCAACTTATTAAAATTTACTATCGTATCTCCAACTCTATCGTCCTAGATCATTGGTTTGTTGTTGATCCCTTGAACCCTCCACCATCAAATTTTACATAATTCTTTCGAGGGTTAAATAAGTTTTTGGTCCCTCTAAATATCTTAAACTTCGTTTTTAGTTTCTCTAAAATTTTCCTTCAAAGAATGATCATCCTAAAAATTTTAATTTTAATTTTTAGTCTCTCATGACAAAATCATAGCTAAATCGGTCTCTAATTCCGCCGCTAAATAAAAATCGTCGCTCAAACCATCGTTGAGTTGTAAAAACCGTTTCTAAATTACAAGAGAAATCAAAAGTTAAAATTTAATTTTTTAGGAGGACTATTGTTTGAAAGAAAATTTTAGAGAAATTAAAAACAAAGTTTAAAATATTTAGAGAGACCAAAAACTTATTTAACCCTTCTTTCGATAATAATCTAAATTCATAAAAATCACCTATTACATGTATATCTCTTAAAATATCACTTCATTAATATTCATTATTGCTTTGAAATTCTAATTGATTATTTTGTTAATAAGAAACTCATCAGTAATGCAATATTGATGAATTTTGGAGGAAAGTACATATATCCACATAGACACACATAATTGGCTTGTAATTCTTTTCTTCATGTATACATAATAATATCATATAACTGATCTCTTATACATGTAACATGTAATATATCATGGATCAAAGATTGTATACACAAATAGATATATTGCTTATTTTGCTTCTTCATCATTCATACCATTTGAAGTGTTTTGACTATTGCTTCCTCTTCATTTTGTTGTTCTGGAGAAATCTTGTTATCTGTAGAGTGTTGTTTGGATTTGTCACACATGGACACTGCTGGTTTATATTTACCTAAACTTGATAGTTCTTCAACACAATTCACAATGTCTTCCACACGTGCTACAATTTCAGTAAGCAAGGAAACCATGGTGACCACTTGAATAATATCCATTATTGGAATTTCCATTTTTGCATCCTCATTATTTTGTGTGTTGGGATAAGATTTTAATAAATTTTGTAGCTCTTGTGCTGCACTGTTCATCTCCATGACCAAAATATCAAGTTTGTTAGATTTTGTCATATTCCTTATTGTTAGTGCTAACTCTCTCAAAACATTTGCAGAGTTGTCACCAACTTGCATAGAGGTTTTGCTCATAATCTTCCTTATGTCATTTGAGCTCTGCAAAAAATAATTCAACTATTCAATTTTATTAATGTACCTCAAGAATATTTTCTTACTATATATAGGCTCTATTCGGTAAAAATAACTGATAGCTGATATGACAATCTTGATATATTACCTTGTTTTCCGAATGTATACATCCGATAAGAGCATCAACGCAAGAAGCACATCGACGCATTGTGGCTCCGATTTTAAGATATTGTTTCCATGGATGACAGAAATTGAATCTTCCATGTGCAGGCTCCCATCTAGCTAAATTGGCCTGAGATTAATCAATGATATTATTTTAGTCACATTCAAAAAATTATTAGCTAAAGGTATTGTTTTTACATATATAAGATAATATCTTCCATATTTATATATACCAATGATTCTTCTGTTGCTTTTGAGTTTAGCACACATTTATAACCCATGATTTTTTTGTTAGACTCTTCAGTTGCAGTTTGGGCTTCAAAGTACTGAGCCACACAACCTGAAATAAGCACATACACACACAATAATTATATTCAATAATCAGTATAGTGCATGCATGCATGCATGCATGCATGGGACTGTATGAAATAAACTTTGGTATTTAAACTGACCTTGCAAGGAGTTTGCGAGTTTTGTCGAGGTTTCCGGTGACTAAAACATAGAGTTCTATACCAGCCCAAACGGGTCCGAACAGTCGTTGCTAACGATTATGCACAACGAAGTTCCGATTATAATAGTAGAAATTCTTTGTTGTGCCATGTTAAACAACTCGTCAATTCGATAACCAGATACCGAAACTAAACAGAAAGTTAAGATGAATATCATAGCACCATAATCAAAACGAGCCTTTATAGTTGGTATGAATCTTGAGAATGTGGCTGCAGAAGCTGTAAACATAGATCAAATAGTATGTAATCAGTTAAGATCCATAGTGTGTAAAACCTTATACATTTAATTGTGAACATGATTATAATAATATACCTAATAGAAAGAGTGAGACTCCAACAATTATAGGTTCCCATTGATCTCCTGCTCTACTAGCAACCCAATGTACACCAAAGGCTAGAAGCCCAGCAAGGGTAGTTCCACAAATTCTGTTTATACTTTTATATATTGTAGCACCTGCAAATTTTACATATAGTATTAATATATAGATATATAGATTAGAAAAGCAGTGATGCACTGATAACACACTCTGCATATTTATTTTATACTGTCAACCAATCACGACTATGTATCCCGACCAAGACATATTGAAAATTTTAAATTACTGATATGATAGAATGATATATTCCAATTGAATGACAGTGCATCTCCGTTAAACTCTATATACATATAAAAGGTTTCATAATTTTATCGACGGTAGCATTACGTACCGGCAGTGTATTCGAAGACGACGATCACGGTCATGACGGCCCACATAGCATTTCTTCCAACTCCATCATACAAAGGCTTTAAATAGTAGAAAAGTGAAACAGCTGTGAGTGCTATTCCTACTTTCAAACAATGGATAAATTTTCTTGGATCATTCACACCAATATCCAAGCTTTCTTAAAAAAATTTGCACAGCTTGAAATAAAGACTAGTTATAAATGTCCACATGCTGCAAGAAACTACTGCTCTTTTCCATGGACCATCTTCAACTTTGATTCTCCATTCAACTTCTTTTGCAACTCCCTTGTCATTAGTCATCTTTAGCTGATACTACAAAAGATAGCTATATGTATTTGTTTCTGTAAGTTCCAGCTATTTGTTGCACTCTTTTATGTTGCTGGAACAGTTAATGGTAACCACTAAGCACCCCCAAGCCAATGCTATATGACTAAGTAAAGATTTACCTAAACTTAGAGGAGAATCATGTGTATTTATATAGAAAAAGAGGCGTGTGGCATGTCACAACATAAGGATATTGAATATTTATTAGATTCACGACAAAATATTATATTTTTAAGTTTAGTTTAGTTCAAGATAATAGAATGTGCTAACTTTTATATAATTTCTATTCTTAGATTAAGATGATGTAAGAGCGCAACTAAGTTTAAGTGCCATACTTTTTAGTGTGTTCAAATTGCTTGGACATGGATGATTGTTGTGTATAGTGTATAATATAGTATTCCCTCGTTGTCAATATAAGTAAGAAAAATCATAATACATAATAATTAAGAAAAATAGGTAATTTAATTTAATTTGTTTGATTCAATTAAAAATATTGTTGCATTCTCTGAATGTCTAATCAAACTTACTATAACCAATCTTCAACATGTCAATCATGTTCCTCGGTGCAAGATAGGTGATTTTAATATAGTTATTAGTTTTCTATTAAAAAAATTGATAGATGTCCTCTTAACAAAAATTTTACTGACTAGTTTTTTATTTGAACAAATCAAAATAAGTTTATATATTTTGACATTAATGATAGATATTATATTTGGATCAATGAGAGGAAATATGGTGTTTACTATTTTGTTAGGTTTGACAAAGTCATTTGTAATACGAATTAGCTAAATAATTAAAACACATTCAATTGTTCCACTTTGATGAAGATTCGCTCCGACCATTACCTTATTTTTCTCCATTGTGACAAAGGTAGGTTTGATTTGGCTATGTCATTCAAATTTTTGAAGGTTTGAACGATAGATGCCGACAACTGATTCCTAATAACTGGAATACTTGTGTCGTAGATTACCTTATGATTATTTTATCTGCTAAGTTGAGATCTCATAAATTTATTCTTAAGAACCGGAAGAAAGATACATGTGAAAATATTCATCTTAAAGTCACTCAAACTATTGTTAATGTTAACATGATACAAATTTTGATTGGTGCATGTTACGGTGACAATGTTGGATTGGAGGAAAAAATGTTCACCTTCTAATAGATAAGGCAATGCATATGCATAATTAGTTTTCTAAGAACAAAGTTAGAAATAAGTGGTTAAATGATGTATATAGGAATACAAAGTTTTTCTCAACACCTAAAATAGAGATATGCTATTTTTTTGGAGAAGAGTATTGAATTGGATGATCATGTTATTAACTTCTACACAAATTTATTTAATTCATAAAACAATTGCAATTATATTGATTTTGTGAAGAGAACTATTTTAATGAGTTATAACTCGTGTGAATAATGAATATCTCACTTGAATGACTTAGTCGAAGGAAATTAAGAATACAGTTCAAAATATGGATGGTAATTTTTTCCATCCCCTATTGGCTTTGGGAATGATTTTTCCAAGCCTGGTAGACTAAAGTATGGACTAATGTGATAAATTCAGTGAAACAATTCTTTAAGCAAAGTTGGATCCTTTCTAATATCAATTCAGTGAATGTGAATTTGATACCTAAACAACGTGTACCAAATTCTATTAACCAATATAGACGTCTTGCGCTTGCAAATTTTCAAATCAAAAGCATCACTAAGATCATTGCAGGAAGGTTGGTAATCTTAACTCCTAAATTTTTTCAGAACACCAAAGAGGATTCATTTTGGGAAAAAATATTTATGAGTGCATTGAGATTACTTCAGAAGTCATTAATATGTTGGACAAAAAATTCTCTAGAGGTAGTATGACTTTGAAGATAGACATCGAAAATGCCTCGGATACTTTAGATTTGCAATATCTTATTAAAGTTATTATTCGATTTAGATTTGATTAATAGTTTTCTGATTGGATTTGTATCATTCTTCATTCATCCAAACTATCAATCATGATAAATGAGAAAGCTGCAATATTTTTTCTTGCTCTAGAGGAGTGAAGCAAGGAGATCATTTGTCTTCTTTGCTCTTCAGTATTGCTGAAGATGCACTTAGAAAGCACTTATCTATGTTGGTGGATTAGGATAAATTGACATGCATATGAGTTGGAAAGGCAAACATTCCTTTACACACTTTATATACGTATATGACCTTATGATATTTTGCAAAGCTTCTAGAAAAAATGTTTAAGTCATTAACCATATCATTTAAGAATATTTGGTCACAATTATGGTCAACATATTATTCCAACTAAGTGTGAGTTATATGGCGTAAGTAGTTCTAGATATAGGCTAAGGTACATTTTAGATATGTTTAAATTTATTATGGGACATACACCATTTAACCATCTTAGAGTTCATATATTCAAAGGTAAGCCTAGAACTCAACATCTTTAGATATTAGCAGATAGAGCATTGTCCAAGCTAACTACTTGGAAAAGCCATCTGCTTTTTATGAGCTTAGAGTTCAATTAGTCCAATTAGTCATATAAAGCACGCTTCTATATAGTATTGGGATATTTGAATGACCAATTAATCAATCTTCTTAAAAAATTGGATGATTACATCATAAATATTGTGTGGACATGTATTCCTAGATAGTAGAAAATTGATTACTACATCTTGAAAGGTTATTTTCTCAGTTTTTCTGTAGGAGATCTTGATTTGAGAGATATTAAAAAAGTTAAACAAAGTTGATTATTTTTTTTCTTTGTTCAAAGTTGTTCAGTTTTTGACTATCAATAATCAATGATCTTCTATGTTGAGTGAGAATATAGAAAATGTCACGGTCTAGAGGGGGGGGGGGGGGGGGGGGGGGGGGGGGGGGGGGGGGGGGAGGGGGGGGGGGGGGGGGGGGTTATTACCTCCCAAATAAAATGAGCAGTTGAAAAATTAATTTAAAAAGTTTTGTCTCAGTTTGAAAAACAAATATGGTTTGCGCGGTGGAAGCCAAGTATGTGTAAAGTAATTATGTTATCCATTGGTACAAACACATGACACCTTAATCAATACACAATATATGATAAAGATTGAATTAAACATCTAATCAAGAACAAATCAATGTATTGTATTGAATTAATTTCAAATTTACACAAGGTGTGTAAATATAAATAATCAATATAGGCGTGAATTCAATGATCATAGTTTTCAGCCTTAATCAACAACAAGACAAATCAAAAATACCGATTCTAATAAAATCTACACTTAATCAATAAATCCCCATCAAGGCAAATACCTAACGGAGAGTAATTCTAAGAAAGCGATAAAAACAATCTAACATACAATTTGTACTAAATTAAAATAGAGAGAGAAGTTTATGCAAGATTTATAGTGGCTCGACTATCGCCCAACTAAGCCTACTTCTCTCATCAATGGTTTAGCATTGAAATTTTGTTGGTCTTCCAATATAGTATATGACAAATTACACGAGTTTTAGTACAATCACAATATCCAAATAATGCTGAAAATATAAAAATATTCTATTTGGATCCCTTGACTTGTACATAGTTTTCAGCCTTAATCAACAACAAGACAAATCAAAAATACCGATTCTAATAAAATCTACACTTAATCAATAAATCCCCATCAAGGCAAATACCTAACGGAGAGTAATTCTAAGAAAGCGATAAAAACAATCTAACATACAATTTGTACTAAATTAAAATAGAGAGAGAAGTTTATGCAAGATTTATAGTGGCTCGACTATCGCCCAACTAAGCCTACTTCTCTCATCAATGGTTTAGCATTGAAATTTTGTTGGTCTTCCAATATAGTATATGACAAATTACACGAGTTTTAGTACAATCACAATATCCAAATAATGCTGAAAATATAAAAATATTCTATTTGGATCCCTTGACTTGTACATAGTATCAGAAGTGAACTCTTGTGAATTCTTTATGCAAAATTTTCTTGAACCTTTCATCCCCTACATTCCTGCTCTATAATCTCCATTCTATAGAGATATTTCCTCGATTATATTGATATCTTGGTGTTGTTCTGTTTGAAGATTGAGAAGAACTCTCACTTTGTCTGTAGGCTTCTACATAACACTACCAAAGTGAATCTGAAGAGAATATCCTCTTCTTTTCACTATAATTTTCAAATCCAGCCATAATACCACACACCACTACTACAAACAATATATTTCATGCCAAAGCTTTCACATTAGCCAATAAAAAATCGAGGTATAATGTCAAGGCGCGCTATGTTTTATTAGTTTTAAAAATAAAAACCACATTTTCTCTCGATTTCTGAATATAACCGAGGGTAAAAACAAATAAGAAAATGCTTCGAATCATAGCAAATTCAGTTTATGTTTTTATTTATTCAAAAATGATGCCTTTCTTTTTATTTTATTTTTTATTTATAAATTAAATTATCTATTCCCGCGGTTTCTATAATAACTGAGGGATTAAATAAACAGATTTTACTATAAAAGCACTCGTTAAATAGATTTTACCCTAAACCTAACTAATATGTAGCTGCTCCAAATGCGTACGATCATTCTTTGGGGGTGAATTTCAAGACAAAAAAATATTTAATGTTCTATGTTATTCCATCTTCAACAAAATATTTTTCTCCCTTGCAATCTATCTCACATAATGGTATTGATGGTGTATTTTTGAAATAACCATCATATGTTATCAATCAAAGAAAACAATCCATAATTTATTTCTTTGCTCGGTTGACAATATTGAAAATTTTATTCCTAAACATGTCGTAAATTGTAAGTAAAAAATGGTGAATGGTAAAAAAATTGTAAAGGAAACAAGACATATTACTTTTAATTTTTTGTCATTCACTATTTTTTCAAGTAATATATTACCTCGGTTTTGTAACTAAACCGACGGGAAAGTCCTTATTTTATTTTATTTATTTAAAAAGAAAAACCATTCCCCTCAATTTATGAGTCTATGTCCTACACTAATAAAG